TATGGCCTGGACCTCAAACCCACTGTTTCCTTGTTCCCCTCCTCAAGTAAGAAATGAATTTAACCTCTCATATTCTTTCATAGTTAGTAAAATATGGAATGGTAAAAATATGAATAAAATACGTACATGTTTTATTTGGCAAAATTTTGTCCATTTACAAATGAAAAGTTCGATCACTATATAATATTTTAATATATATTATTTTAATTCAATAATATATGAAAACTTTGAGTATAATACGTGAATTTTGTGTGTATTATTGAAAATTTTGTAAAACATTATATGTATTAAACATGAAAAATACGTATGTACGTGTGCAATACATGTTTAGTAAGTTTGCTTTATAAAAAATGTGTATTTTACCTAGTATTTAAGATGTGTATGGAAAACGAAAGTATTGTTGAAAAATACGTACTTACGTGTATAATATGAGTATTAAATGGGAAAATACTAAATTCTTTATTCAGGTAATAACTCTAGAAAATTGAAAAATCAAAATGGGGCAATAGAGACTCGGGTAATTGCCTAATAGTAATGGATAATGCTCTAAACTTCTTATCGATAAAAGAAATCAAGGAAAAAAAATATTTTTTTTTCAAAAAAGAAAGAGGAACCAGGTATAGCCGGGCGGCTAAACTCTTTAAATATATTATAAAGTAAATTTGGCTTACCCCCTCTAAATTGAATTTCTCTTAACTCCAATTCATTACTTTTTGTTCCTATTAATAAAACTCATTTTTTATAAGTAAACACCCACGATTAGGATCCACCTCATCAAGTTACCTTATCAAGCTCAAAATCTGATTTATTGTAATTTTCAGAGATTCCCAAAATACCCCTATGTATTTGCAATTGTTGTTTTCTCCATTGATTATGCTGAATATACTTTGAACATATTAGTTGCAATTCAATGTCATAGTGTTTTTCTTAGATAGGAAATGGTGTTTTAAATTGGCTTAAATTTAGGAATTTTTAGGGTAAGTTTTTCTTTAAAAAAATAAATAATATTCAGTATCTAAAAAAGTTATGGTTTTTGGGCCTATTGAATGTTTGAAGAAACATTTAATATACCTGTCAAGTTTTAGCATAAAATAATGTACCTATTATTTGTACCTATTTTTTCCACCCTTTTTTTAATGAATAATATACATTTTTTTCGTACCTATTAATAATACACCTATTTTTTTAAATAAAGAATGTACATATTTTTAATTTATGAAAAATGTGCAGAGATTTCAATTACATAGCATACTTATTTTCTGATGGTTGTAAATAAAGTACCTATGTTATATACATATTTATAGTTTTTATAGGTATATTATTTATTGGATATGTAATTTAGGGATTTTTTGTTTGTTAGAAATTTTAGGGATTGGCAATGTGTAGAGGGAAATGCCAACCAAAATAAATGGAGTGATTCATATGCTATTAATAGGGAGTATTAATTATAATTAAGGTAGTTAATGATATGTTTGAAAATAAATTATAAATAAAATATGAAGCTATGTGGCATATAATGTAATTTAGTTAATAATACTAGGACAAATCTATCTCACATAGCAACTTATTTTAAATTTGGGTTTTCAGTAAAGATTTAAAAGTAGGTGGGTATATGACTAGGATATAGTAGTAGTAAGGGTATATATTGGAAGAACTCTATATTATATTTGAACCGTATGGCCGCCCGGCTATACCATTTATTAAACAAATTAATGAAGCACCCAAGTATAGCCGAACGGGAATACTATTTCAATATATTATATAGCCGTGCGGCTATACTCATTATTTAAAAAAATTAAAAAAAGGTCGCCTATACTTGACAAGATACTATTTATTTACAGAAACTATTTGTTTAAAAAAAAAAAAAACCCAAGTATAGCCGCGTAGCTATACTATTTTTTTTTAATGAAAAATTAAATAACAAAACCTCACAGTATAGATTGCATCTTTCTTCTTCCTTGGCATTGGCCTAGAACCTCAAACCCACTATTTCCTTGTCCCTCTCAAGTAAGAAATGATCTTAACTTCTCATATTCTTTCATAGTTAGTAAAATATGGAATGGTAAAAATACGAATAAAATACGGATGTGTTTTATTCGGTAAAATTTTGGCAAGTTACAAATAAAAAGCTCGGTCACTATATAATATTTAAATATATATTATATTCATTCAATAATATGTGAAAATTATGTGTATAATACGTGAATTTTGTTTGTATTTATGAAAATTTTATAATAAAAAAACAAATGTATTAAACATGAAAAATACAAACGCACGTGTATTGTATGTTTGCTTTTAAAAAAATGTGTATTTTACCGAGTCTTTAAGGCGTGTATGGAAAACGGAAGTATTATGAAAAAATATGTATGTACGTGTATAATACGAGTATTAAACGAGAAAATGCTAAATTCTTTATACAGGTAATAACTCTGGAAAAGTAAAAAGATCAAAGAGGGACAATAGAGACTCGAGTAATGGCCTAATAGTAATGGATAATATTCTAAACTACTTTTATCGATAAACAAAAATCAGGGAAAACGTTTTTTTATTTTTTATTTTTAGGATTTTCAGTCGTTTTACCCCTTGAATTATGACCCTTGTGGAAATTAACCCCTTAAACTAAAAAAATCAACAAATTTAGTCTCTGAACAAAAAAAAAACCCAATTTCATCCATACCGTTAGATTTTTTCACATTTCATCCACAGTTCTGTCAATAATGTCACGTGAGGCGTACGTGGAACTAAAGTAAACGGCAATTTCGACCTTCAAGATGCTTATCCAAGTTGGTCCCACCCCCAGCCTCTTCCCTTCAAGCATTATTTTATGGAATGCGTTTTATTTTTCGGACTGATATATATATATATATAGTCCCCTTCTATTGACTCGAGCCAACTTCAGGGAACCACATAACCTACAAAAGATGAAACGAGAAACAATTCAAGTTCAAATAAAGTATGTAATTGCATACAAATTCATAAAACCAAATATTCATGGATGCATGATATATATATTGGTAGTGTGTACATGTCGAGTTTCTACTGTATATCCCTCCCAGGGACGGAGCCACATTGGGACCAGTGTGGTCCTAGGCCCCCACTCATATTTTTTTATATTTTAAAAGTAATATACTGTTATGTATTTCTTGATGTATATTATTTCAAATACTTCACGTTTTGATATGTACCCACATGTGTTGTGGTGAACCTATTAAGGCACAACGAGGTGCTTCAAATTGCTCCTTTACTTAGCTGGTGTGGTGCACTCCAGGTGTACAAATTACCTTATTTTCATTTTGAGTATGTAAGTAAATGTCTTTGTCCTTTTACTTTCATTTATTTTTATATTACTCTATTTACTTAAGTTTACAATGCAAGTAAGAAAGTACCCCCGATTTGAATTCAAATAAAAATACTAGAAAATCAAATTCCCACTAAATCAAAATATGAAAAATCGGTTTTGGTGCAAAATACGATTTATGCTAAAAATGATGACTCATTAAGTCAATATATACGTTATACTAAAATCCCATAAAATCAAGTTTTCTTATTTGATGTGTAAGGAATAAAAGCCAACAAAAATTATCTTGAGAAAATGATTATTCCGTAAAACCATTTTTCATACTAATTAGTCAATATTTTTACATAAAATATTTTTTCATGTATGATATGAATGCATGAAGGGGCCTAAGGTTTTTTTTTTTTTTTTAATTTGTGAAATTTTGTTTTTTTTCTTTCTATTGGGTTTAATGGGGAAAAAAGCTTTAAAGATATTTGTTAAATCGCTACTCTTTGTCTATCTCTTGCAATTTTTCTTGCTTAAAATGTATTTGTCTATCCCTTTGTCGAGGACAATTATGATTGCAACCAATAAGCAATATAATTCTTGACATATGTGATATATATATATATATACTATTTTTCGTATGTATTTTTTGATTCTTTATAATTTGTAAGAGGCCTCCACACACATGAAATCCTGGCTTTGCCATTGATCCCTCCCATACTACTTTGAGTTGGCTATATATAGCTAGTTAGTGATGTTTATGTCACTTTGATTATCAATTTCTAGTAGTTATTCCAACTATTAGAGATTTGAAAAATATATTTATAATTTTTAAGTTATTCTTCAAGAGTTATACTTGAAAAACAAAATCATCTAAACTCGAAGTTGTTTGGTCATTTAATACATGCAACAACAAAAGACATAATTTGTTAAAAAATTAAAACAAAAATGTGGACAATCAAATCACTTAAAAATTTCGAATTCAACTGATTTTTTCCGTGAATAATCCAAGAAAGAAAATGTCAAATTTGAATGATTCTGATAATTAGTTTATAATCTAGAAATAAGATGTGCTTAGACATCATGGTTATAGAAAGCCTCAACATATATAAATAAATAAATAAATAAATAAATAAATATATATATACACCACAAAATAAAAAAATAAAAAAAAAGGTGACGAAGGCAGGCTAGACTGATGGTACGTAGGACTAGTTAGTATTGGCCCTTGCAAGTGACGATTTTGATGCCTAAATTATGAATGCAATATATCACATTTTTCTAAATTTTTTATTTTAAAAAACCTTGAAATAATAAAGAAATTTATTTTAGGAGTTTCAATATTCCAATATTTGTATAAATTAATCCAAATTATTTTTCTCCACTAGAACAATCAATTGGAGAATGGCTCAATAATTTTTTTTTTAAAATTTCAATAATGTATATCAAATTGACACGTTTTTAACCAAATATTACAGTTGTGTTTAATTCATAGAAAATTGAGATTATAATTGAGAAATTATATTTCGTAAATCCAAACATGGGAAATAGTTCCTAACACATGCGAAAATAACGGTGAAAATGGAACCTTGCACTGCCCTTTGAATTTCATTTTCCCTTCCCATAAAAATTGGGTCAAAAAGAGGAGAAAATGCGCTTTAACCCAATTTTGAAACAAAAACAAGTTACATCGCGCCACTGCCACGCCATTTGGTAAAAGAGCACACATCGGTCTTTTCACAAGAATGCCACAATTTCAATTTCAAGCTCCCTCCTCAGTCCTCCTTCCTCCCTCAACGCCCACCCTTCTCTCCGAAAACCCCAAAATCCCAATTCAATGGAGCAGCAGAAGCGCATGGCGAGCAAATGCCCGGAAAACGAAGAGCTCGCAGCGTACATGCTACGCAAGTGGCAGGAAATGGCCGAGCAAAAGCCCAAAGGCATCTCCGAGAACATCGAAATGACTCTTTCTAAGGCTTACTCCAATGTCTGCAACTCCAAGAACCCTATTAAAACCCTTAAAGAGTTTTCCCATATCAAGTGAGTTTTATAAGCTCTGTTTTGATTTCTCTAGAAAGTTTGCATTTATATTTAATCAGGGTTTAATTTTGGTCATTCTTGGAATGGAAGATTGTCAATTGTGAGGGTTATAATCTTAATCGATTGAAGCATTTTTATTGAATTTTATGGACAATTTATGATGCTGAAGTTATAATTTTGGTTTTAGTGGGTTTGATCATATATTTTGTTTAATTTTGTTCACTCCGCCAAGGTATAGTGATTGAAGTTGAACTGTAATTTTTTTTTTTTTTAACCGGAGCTTATGTACTTTCGTGGAATAAGATATTCTTGAGATTATGTAACTTCAGCTTATTGTTAATTTCTGGATTTTTTAAAATATTTTATTGAGAGTTTATTATTGATATGTCAAACAAGTCTTACCCAAGAATTTTTTTGTATTATTTTGGTTACAGTAGTATAATCAATGTGAAGTTTCCTCTGTTTGGCCGTGGAAATATTGTGGTTAAGACAAAATTTCATTCTTTTCTCTTACCCAGGGATGGATCCAGGATTTTAAAACTGACAGGGCTGGACTTAACATTAGGAACTAATATTTTTTTCCCAAGTGAAAAATTGTAGAAATTTCAGTGAAGTCTAGTTTATTTCTTTGAAATTATACGTTCCTAAAAAAAGTTCAAATAATATGATGAATTTCATTTAAAAGCAGAAATTATATACTCTAAAAACTAACTATACCTATTCTATGCATTTTACATAACACTATAAAATCTTAGGCCCATTTTGTAACATTCTTCGTGTCCAGGTTTTAGTTTTCTTAATTACTTAAAAATAGAAGTGAAACACAGTGGGGAAATGAATGAAAAAGGTGGAAGAATGGATGAGAGGAGGGTGGGAAGAGCAAGAAATTAAGGGACCTTTAAAAAATAGAAACGTTTGCTTTGCTTGCAAGACGGCTAATGTCACTGCATCAAATTTAGGAAATGTGTTTAATTTATTTTAAGATAAAATTTTTGGCCATATTTTTTTTACATGTATATTAGCGAGTTGGCATTGCCTTGCTCTTGGAGAAAACTTTTCGGACAAAAAAATAAAGCATGATTATTATTAGTATGTAAAACAAAGTAGATATGTATGCGATGATAATGTACTCCATTTTTCCTTGTCAACAATAATTTTGAATTTCTCTGGGTGTAAGAAACTGCAATAGAAATAGAGATTTCTACTGCATTTACAAAAATTTAGAATGGGCTATAGCCTGTACATCCTTGCATTTCTGTCTCTGTCCTTGTTCTTACCTTGTAGGGAGCTGAAATAAATGAGAAAATTGAATCTAATTCATATCATTTTCAGGAAGAGGTCTTCACATTGGAAACTAAAAAAATGAAGTCGAGTTATTATTACTTGTCTAGAAGAATAAAAAATGCCTTGATTATTTTGGAAGCTGTTTAGGGGTTTGCAATTTCATGATTTATTTTTTTGGAATGACGTGCACCATTCATATGTTGGTGTAGGGGTGTGGGGAAGTGGATTCTGCGGCTTATGCAAGGGTTTTTTGAGACCGGTTCAAGCAGTTCTGAACCAGAAGACTTAACAAAAAAGGGTACTTTTAATAATTCATTGGCTTTACATTCTCTGTACTTGATTTAATGTTAAATTGATTCGTTTTGCTGTCAAATATGCATGTGTTTTAGGTAAGAGAAACAAAGGAAGCAGGCGCTATCTTCCACAAAAGAATTCTGTGGCATATGCATTATTGATCACACTTTACAGGTAAACTCGAATGTTTTTTAACTAAGTAAGCAATCACTCACAGCTTTAATTGAATGTGCTTTATCAAATTTTTGGAAGTTGGAGTTAATGATAAGTTTTTCAGGGGAACTGAAGATGGGAATGAATTTATGCGTAAACAGGAGCTTATTGATGCAGCTGAAGCAAGTGGACTTTCTCGTGTGCCAATTATGTATGTTGTGATTCATTATATCAGTTCCGCAAATTTCTTTGTCATTTGTGCTTAATTGTGATGTTCTGAGACCTGGTTTGTTCTTAGGCCAGAGAAGGGAAAGGGAAAACTTGGACACTTTGCGAGTTCTGCAAAGGAATGGTATAGTGGATGGTCCTGCATGACAACATTGATAACCAAGGGACTGGTTGTGAAATCAAGTTGCCCTGCAAAGTATGGCTTTCTTTCTTCTTCATTTATATTTATTTGGTTTTACTTTATGCTAACAAGGAACTATGTAAGTATCTTATATTGTTTTTCTGCCTCAAAACTTGTATATTTGAATGGCAAGATCTCTAGCCTTATGCACTTTTTACAATTTTACGTGGAAATGTTTAGATTGTTTCAGGAGTAATAAATAAATCAAAGTGTCTTTATGAAAGTTGAATTGCTTACAAAATCATTCCCCATTAAGAAAATACAGTAGGAAAGGTATACTTTGATGTGAATGATGATTCACAAGTAGACTATGATGTGGAATTTATTAGAATCATTGATGAGTTGTAGTACTTAATTCTTGCCATTTAATAGAAGCATGTCTTGTCCATTGGCACATGGGCAAATATGTTCTTTTTAGGTAAATAACATTTGATAAGAGGCTTTAGCTAATACATGATTACCAGCTCTGGAACCTTGTTTGTGATATGGTTAGTTTCAATATGAGTTAGTACTTGTCTGTACCAAATTCTGCGAAATCAAGTATTACATGAAGCAGTACCTGGAAGTTGTCAAGTTTCACTTAGATTGCATTTGCACATTAACAGATGTGTAATGCATGTCGACACTGTAGGTACATGCTTACTGAAGAAGGTAAGGAAGCTGCACATGAATGTCTCATGAGGTCTGGTTTGGCAGAGCCTGTAGAACAATCTGCTAATGCCGAAGGGCCTTCTGTTCTGAATGTGGACAATATTTCACATCAGGGACTTGCTCATCTGGGCTCAGCCACAGAGGTGACATTGTTGCCCACTAATCTAAGTAGGAAGGAGAAACCGTTTGATATTCCACCGGAATACCTTGACAAGGTACGTATCTAGCTAGCTTTTAATTTTTATCTTGAATTGTGGACTGGGAACAATAATCAGTTGATTTTTATATTAGTTTCTGAACACACTCCTTTCCAAGATTAAGCATATTAATTAAAGTGTGTGGTCTTAGTTGCTCAGTTCAGTTGATACCAACCCTCTAATATGAGTTTTCTTTCGCCCTCAATATCCAGTCATGCCATGGGCTGTGGTTCCCACTTGATTATAAATTGATATTGATATTGGATTTGAAAGAGGAGATTTTGTTCTGGTCATCTACATCCTGGATGGAGTTTGATTTTTACATTGTTTGCCTATCTTTCAGATTGTCAATCAAATGAATATTTTGTTGCAGAAAAACAAAGTTAATAAGCCCCGCCCCCCGATGTTCTTGTGTATTTGTTCTTAGTGGATGCCTTATGTTTCTATATGTTCATCTTTTAACCATCTAATTTCATAGATATCTTTGTGGGCATATAAATATGAAATATTTTCAGTTGAATTACAAATAAACATAAACAACTTATTTCTAGGGGTGGGAATAATATTAATGAAACTGAAAATTGTCTGCCTGACTCGATTGACTCTACCTACCAGAGTTGGCTTCCTTTATCTTTGTTAACAGGGTTCAGGGCTGGGGTTCCATAACCATTTTTGTGAAATTGTGGAAGTCGACCCTATTTTTTTATTTCTCAAAAAAGATTTTGCCATGTGTTGTCATCTTATATTATGTGTCTAGACTTGCTGCGGAACCGAAGCCAACCAAATATGGTTTTGACCTGAGCCAACCAACCTAGGGGCCCCAGACATTGCTCATCCACATCTGAGGGGTTTCCACATAATGCTTAAGAAAATAAAAGGATAGGATTAGGGTTAAGGGTATTGTAAGAACATTGGTGAGTGGGTTAAGCAAAATGTCACTCTACCAGAAACAGAGTCAATAGGTTCAAACAGTAGAATTGATTGACATATAAACCCATCATTTTAGGTAATAGTTGATCTCAAAAGCTTAATCATCCATACAGAAACAAGCCCAATGATGTATTTCAAGCTCAATAACCTCAACTTAATAAAACAGGCACGTTATTGAGGCCCTGTTCTGTAAGTTTTTGTTTCTGGTTTCCAGTTTTTATATTTTATATTCTCATCTTTATATTTTCATTTTTTAAAATTTATTTAAAAATCTGTTTTGTAAAAGAGATCGTGAAGAAAAGCATGGAAGAAAGGAGATAGATGAGAAATGAGAGAGGCCATGACGAAATAAAGAAGTGTACATAATTCTATATATTTCTCCCTCTCTTTCACATCTTTTGCATCCGTCATCTCTCTTCTCCACTTTTCTTCACTTCTCCTTCCCAATTTTTTTTTAAAAAAAAAAAACTAAAGAAAAAAAAACAAATAGCAAAATGTTACAGAATGAGCCCTGAAGTTTTCTTTTAAATTTATCTTTTTGGGGAAATATCATGTCCGGTTTCTATTCAACTTCATAACCAAGTATTTTTGAGACGATATCCGTAAGCTTCAGTTGATATCTCTCTTGCTTTTCCTTTCATTTAAATTTTTTTCAATGAGCGTGAACTATATAGAAATACATGAAATGTTACATTGTTTTGCTTCTTGTGCACCTGGTCATAGTACTTTGAAGTGCATGTTATAATTATTTGCTCTTTTCTTGGTCAATATTTTGTCTTGATTCATTTTCTCTTTTCTATAGTTTATGCCCATGGGGTATTCTAAGGAACAGATTGTTCAAGCTTTTACTGAAGTTTCAGAAAGTTCCCTTGGCAAGGAATTGTCTTCACTATGGCCATCCGTTCTGTGTCGTCTTCGCGAAGAAGAAGTTTATGGTTTGCATTTGAAGTCTCAGACTTTAAGGAAAGATCTTTGTGCAGAACCAATCACTTACACGGTTGCAGATGGTAAGCTTTCTCTGTAAGATGCTAAGTCATAGTGAGATGCTCCAATTCTCCAAAACCATCTAAACCCCCTTTCTTATAAAGCTCATTATAATTGCTCAGGTCAGAGAGATTGTGTAATGAGTGAGAATAGGCTGACCACCTCTTCTTGCGATGGTGGACATGCGGCGAAGATTAATTCTGACGAGCCAGTATCAAAGTCTTTTACGTTCAGAGCTTGTTCATCCTCTGTATGTGATGTGTCAATTCAGTTTAAATACGATGATAACACTATTCCAGGGGCATATCTTGCATATTTGACTGATACATATGTCATGTACCAAGTACTGCATAATGGGGATAGAATCATGGAATTTGAACCATCTACCCCCATTTTTTTTCCAGCCTTTGAAGCTGAAAGAGGAGCCATTAAGTAAAATGAATAAGTTGTGAAAATAAGTAACCATTCACTTACATAGATAAAACAGATATATATATTAAAATGTTGATAGACAATTATTCTGTTAAAATATAGTATAAAACATTTGAAAATGACTCTTGGGGAAAATTTGTACAGAGAAAAGTGATGGTTTGGCTTTTCCTTTTCTTGTTAACAAAAATGTGATGTTCTTCTCAGTTTAAAGTACACCAGATCTTATTTTCCAAATGTTATAATAAATAGCGCATTAAAAAAAAAAAAAAAAACTAAGGTTAATTTTATTTGACTGCTTTCGTTCTTGTTTGTGTTTGCTTTTTTTCAAAGAAAATTTCAGTGAGGCTACCTCAGTGCTTCTGCCAAAATCTGCCTATAGTGCAGAACCTTAAATTTACATGAGGCTTAGATCCGTCGGGTAATTGTTTTTAAATATTGTGGCTTCCGTTCAATAGATTTAGCTCCGAAAATATCATGTCAAATTGAACGCACTAAAATTGTGTTTATATGAGACTTTTACTACAAATAATACTTTAGGGGGCAGATGGTTGTAGACATTTTTTCCTTACAATCAAAAGTCATCTTATCCAGTATACGTTATATGTTGCTCATTGACTTGTTGGCTTTCCTAGAGTCATCCTGTGCCAGAGCCTACTTTGGATAATTATGAAGCAAGTTCGAGTGTTTTATCCATACCACCTCTAAGCTTTGGGGAGAGATTTGAGGATGCATATGAAGTAATCTTGGTATTGGATGATCGAGAACAATTTGCTACTCAGGGGTCAGTAACATATGATTTTTACATCTGCCATACTTTTTTAAATGATGAAGCTAGTTAAACATAGTTGTTACTGTCTTGACACCGAAACAGTTTTGTGGTTATGCCAATAATTATCTGGGAAATTCTCTATGAATCGTATTGTTTGCTCAATAGGCTTTGTCCCCAAACTTGAAAAAAATAGCCTGACCCCCCAACCCGACAGCAAGCCCATCCCCACCTTTGGTGGCTCCTCACTTTGGCTAGTCCCGGACAGGACTTAACAGCTGCCACGCCCCTCCTTTCTGTTTCTCTCTTTCTCACTATCCCCTACTGCATTGGTGGCTAGGGTGGCTGGCGACCTTGCCGCCTTCAGATCTGAAATCGGTGGCAAGGTTGCTGGCCTGCCTTCCCCCCGCTTATCCGAGTGGGAGAGAAAGAGAGACAAAAGGGAGAAAGAGAGAGGAGGGGGAGTGGTGGCTGGCTATTTGCCGTCATCAGAGGGAGGAGCTGCCGGAGGAGATGCGGCTGCTGTTGGTTTTGGGGCTCTTTTGATTTTTATGATTTATGATTTATAGTTTTATACAAAGAATTGGTAATATGACATTTATTACCACAATTAATTTTTTTTATTTTTATTTTCCATATCCTTGAGAATGCAGTGTAGGACTAGTTTGTTATACATTGCGCTTTTGCTGGTGTTTTTAACTACTGTGATTAATTGTATATGCATTGTGATTTTAGATCGCGGTCTAGGAGAATTATTGAGAATGTTCGTTCTCAATTCAAAATCAAAATAGAGGTGAGTTCTTGTAGTCTTTTATATATTAGTTCTTCTAGTGGTTTACATTGAACATTAACTAGAATTTGTACTGTTGTATATCAGTTGTCTGTATTGGTTTCACATATCAATGGCAGTTTGTGGTGCTTTCTTTTATTACCTTTTTGTTTGTTTGTATAGTGTTTGGCATATTTTGCTGCTTCATGATTGAGTCAGCTTGAACTTTTAAATAAAATGAGGAAACCTTTGTTGTATCCCTATTAATTTACGAGTTAAATAATTTTTTTTAATGTACTGATTCTGTGGATTTTGTTCTTCTCTTGTAGATTATGTACCTGTAGAGAACTGTCAATAATATTATTGCCTCTGAGTTATTTACAGGCATTTGTCGTTCTTGTTAGAATGTGTAGTGTTAGTACAGCTGTGTTTGTACAGCTGTGTTAGTGAGTGTTAGTATAGCTGTTTGTACAGCTATGTTAGTGCTAGTACAGCTGCTATCTTTACAGCTGTGTTAGTGTTAGTACAGCTGCATCTCTACTCTTTGTATAGCTATAAATACCTCCCATTGGAGATGAATCAATCATCAGAAATTTTCTGCATCTTATTTTCTACTTGGTATCAGAGCATACTAATTTGCTCTCTTACTTTCTTATTCCTTCCTATTTCTGTGTTACCACATATCTCTATCTTTTTCACCAAGGGTATACTGACCTTGGTGTTCTCTCTTTCATTTCTTACTGAAATCTCTGAGTATGCTCTGTAGTTGTAGCTAGACTGAACTTCTACATCAGAAATTCCCTTTTATTTCTCTCTACCATAAACACAAATTTCCGCTGCTATTGTGGCTGAAAAATCAGAAAATTCAGATTCTCCTGGTGCTGAAACATCTGCCCCAGTGATGAATTTTCACCAAGATACACCTTCCTCAATTGGGGTAAAGCTCAATGGCACCAATTACCGTCTTTGGTCCAAAGTTCTTGAGATGCATATTGCTGCCCGTGAAAAATATGGTTACATCTCTGGGACTAGGATTGCACCAAAGGATTCATATCCAAAATTTGAGAAGTGGATGGCTGAAAATGCACTAGTGAAGTCATGGCTCATCAATTCTATGGCCCCTGCCCTCATGATGAATTTTATTCATTGTGAGACCGCTAAAGATGTTTGGGATACCGTCAAGAAAACGTATCATGATGCTTCTGATGCTTCCTAAGTCTACGAGTTGATGAAGAAATCCTTCCAGATGCATCAAGATGGCCGACCATTGACCATCTATTTCACGGAACTCAATTCCACCTTTATGGAGCTTGACTTCCGTCGTCCAAATGACTTGGAGAATCCATTGGACTTTGCCAAATTGAAGAAACGTATCTCTGAAGAACGTGTCTATACATTTCTTGCTGGACTTGATCATAATCTTGATCAAGTATGTGGACGTATTCTGGCCACATCACCTCTCCCTGATATTGATGAAGCTTATTCTATGGTTCGTAGAGAAGCACAGCGCCAGGTCACCATGGCTGCCGAAGGAACCCCAGAAGCTTCAGCCTTGGCAGTTCATAGGGCTCAACCTTGGCAAACTACTACTTCTACAACACCTCAGACTTCTTCAACATTTTCAGAGAGAAAATGTTCTCATTGCGATCGTAAGAGTCATGAGAAGGAAACTTGCTGGAAAATTGTGGGATATCCAGAATGGTTCAAGTTGAAACAGGCTGAACGCAAGGGAAAAAAGTCCTCTCAGGCTAACTCAATCTCTACTGACACACCACAACCATCTCAGGTTTATTTCGGTAAAGGTAAGAATGGAGTGTCGTTTATTTCTTCTAAAAATCCATGGATAATTGATTCAGGGGCAACTGATAATATGACCAGTGAGTCATCTCAGTTTACATGTGTTACACGTCCGTCACGTCATTCTGTTCAGATTGCGGACGGGTCTATCACTCCAGTTGAAGGGGCTGGTTCCCTCTCTCTTTCCTCAACTTTACCGTTATCTTCTGTGTTACACGTTCCTAACCTCTCTAATAATCTTCTTTCCATCAGTCAAATTACCAACATGTTAAACTGTTCTGTAATCTTTTTCTCTACTCACTGTATTTTTCAGGATCTTCTCACGAAGACGACGATTGGTATTGGTAAGGAGAGAGGAGGTCTCTACTACTTGGAAACGCTAGGGCAGTCTCAAATTCAATCTAGCCGTGGGTTTCAAGCAGCAAAAGACAATGTTTTAGATCGAGAAAAAATTCTTTTATGGCATCGTCGTTTAGGACATCCTTCGTTTATCTATCTGGAACGCTTATTTCCTAAGTTATTTACTAACATTTCAGCTTCTAGTTTACGCTGTGAACATTGCATTTATGCAAAAAATCATCGTGTCTCGTTTCCACCCAGCTTTCATAAAAGTGTTAGTCCTTTTTCTCGTATTCATACTGATGTGTGGGGTCCATTTTCTATTCCTACTTCTTCGGGTGCTCGATATTTTATATCTTTTATTGATGATTGCACTAGAGTGTGTTGGGTTTATCTGATGAAATCCAAAAGTGAAGTTAGTACTGTTATTCCTAAGTTCCATCAACTAATCAATACTCAGTTTCATGTCCAAATTCAGGTTTTTCATTCCGATAATGGACGTGAGTTTGTAAATCATTCTCTTACTGAATTCTTCCAGCAGCATGGCATTATCCACCAGACAACTACGGCTTACACACCCCAACAGAACGGTATAGCAGAGCGTAAGAACCGCCATCTCCTCGACGTGGCCAGGTCCTTATGCTTTACTATGCAAGTTCCCAAACAGTTCTGGGCTGATGCTGTCATGACTGCTGTCTTCCTCATTAATAGAATGCCTACTCGTGTGCTTGATTATCAAACACCCATAAAAGTATTGTCTCAATTCCACTCAATCCCTTCCTTGCTTAATTTGCCCCCTAAAATCTTTGGTTGTCTTTGCTATGTCCATGTTCACTCTATTCACAGGGACAAATTAGATCCACGTGCTCTTAAGTGTGTCTTTCTCGGATATCCTCCATCACAAAAAGGATATAAGTGTTTTCATCCTCCTTCTGGTAAGACGTATGTGTCTATGGATGTTGAATTCTGTGAACAAGAATCTTATTTCTCAGGAGGAGTCTCTACTTCTCCTTTTCAGGGGGAGATTAGAAGTACAGAAGAAGAGAAGTTGTGGTTTGAAGCTGAAATTGGACCATGTTATGTTCTCCCTACTCAAGGTGAGGGGGAGAAGTCAGTTGAACATGAAATTGGATCAAGTTCAATTCTCCCTACTCAAGATGAGGGGGAGAAACCTGTTACCTTGAAAACTGTAGAAATAAGTGCAGAAATTTTTCTCTAATTTATTTATCTCTAATGGGAGGTATTTATAGCTATACAAGGGTAGAGATGCAGCTGTACTAACACTAACACAACTGTAAAGATAGCAGCTGTACTAGCACAAACATAGCTGTACAAACAGCTATACTAACACTCACTAACACAGCTGTACTAACACTACACATTCTAACACTCCCCCTCAAGTTGGTGCATGGATATCGCACATGCCCAACTTGTCTAGTGAAGAGTAGAGTTCTCTGCTAGAAACAGCATGAGTCATCATATCTGCAAGTTGGTCTTCACTCTTTATATACGGCACTCGAATGACTTCTTTTGCCAAGTAGTCGCTGATAAATTGTCTGTCAATATCAATATGCTTTGTTCTCTCATGATGTACTGGATTATTTGCTATCTCAATGGTAGTTGTATTGTCACAATACAGAACCATAGGCTTCTTAGGTTCAAACCCGAGTTCCCTCATTAGAATCTTTAACCAAAGAAGCTCAGTTATGCCATGACTGAGTGCTCTATACTCTGCTTCAACGCTAGAGAGGTATCAGAGGTTGGTTGGAAAGCTGATTTATCTGGCTCATACAAGACCTGACCTGTCTTATGCCGTTAGTGTTGTCAGCCAGTTCATGCATAATCCAAGTGAAGCACACCAAGGTGCAATGGATCGAATTCTCAGGTACTTAAAGTATACTCCAGGCAAGGGTATATTATTTTCAAAACATGGGCATTTAGATGTGGAAAGTTACACTGACTCTGACTTTGCAGGCTCGAAACTTGATAGAAAATCAACTTCAGGTTATGTATCTTTTGTCGGTGGTAATCTTGTAACTTGGAGGAGTAAGAAATAGGGGTTGTGTCAAGATCTAGCGCTGAAGCAGAGTATAGAGCACTCAGTCATGGCATAACTGAGCTTCTTTGGTTAAAGATTCTAATGAGGGAACTCGGGTTTGAACCTAAGAAGCCTATGGTTCTGTATTGTGACAATACAGCTGCCATTGAGATAGCAAATAATCCAGTACATCATGAGAGAACAAAGCATATTGATATTGACAGACAATTTATCAGCGACTACTTGGCAAAAGAAGTCATTCGAGTGCCGTATATAAAGAGTGAAGACCAACTTGCAGATATGATGACTCATGCTGTTTCTAGCAGAGAACTCTACTCTTCACTAGACAAGTTGGGCATGTGCGATATCCATGCACCAACTTGAGGGGGAGTGTTAGAATGTGTAGTGTTAGTACAGCTGTGTTAGTGAGTGTTAGTATAGCTGTTTGTACAGCTATGTTAGTGCTAGTACAGCTGCTATCTTTATAGCTGTGTTAGTGTTAGTACAGCTGTGTTAGTGAGTGTTAGTATAGCTGTTCGTACAGCTATGTTAGTGCTAGTACAGCTGCTATCTTTATAGCTGTGTTAGTGTTAGTACAGCCGCATCTCTACCCTTGTATAGCTATAAATACCTCCCATTAGAGATAAATAAAGAAGATCAGAAATTTTCTGCATCTTATTTTCTACTGTTCTTATGCTTGAAACCTTTTGGTTTGGGGACTACCTGCATCTATGCTACCCTGGGTTTGGACTTTAGAGTATGTTGTTTTAGAAACCTGTCTCTTCCACTATCCTCTACTGACCAAGAATCCACCTTGGGATTTCAGTTTCCTCTATGTAGCACTTTACTCAATGTCTCTTCATATTGTTCTGTTGCTATGCATGATGTGATAGTGATAGACTTGAGAACATTTGCTTCCCATCTTATAGTCCATTATAAATATTGTTTTTACTTTTTGCTAAATAATTCAATTGCCTTAATTCCGAACTCAAGTTGGGTTTTTTTTTTGGCTGATATTATAAAATTCAGCTGGGATTTTAAGAACTCTTTTAAAAGTATTTGGCTCCAGGAACATTTTCACTCTTCAGTTCATTATGTTTTGGGTTTGTCGTAGTCTTCTTTAAGTTTGGTTGCTGCTTTGAATCTCAAATTGTTGTGATTATTGACCTAAATGACATCACACGTAGATGTCTAGAATAAAGTGGTGAGTTTTCTAATTGTTACTTTACATTGTAATTAATTTTGGCTTACTAGCTTGAGAGGTACTTGTCCATATTTTTGCTTTAGTATCTTCTCCATTTACTGCAAACTATCTGCAAACTATAATTAACAAACTGACTCTTCTACAGGTTAGGAGGTTACCAGTTGGAGATGGAATCTGGATAGCTCGCCATAAGCAACTTGAGAGCGAATATGTACTTGATTTTATTGTTGAGAGGAAGAATGTTGACGACTTACGCAGTTCAATTAGAGACAACCGTTACAGGGATCAGAAGTTGAGACTCTTGGTATTGATTCTTATTGGAAAGACTATATGTTTTACTTGTATCAGTTATACGAAGTTTGCTATTATATCTTTCATCTGTTGTTTGTATGCTTATTATTTGACAGTTTTATAGTGAAAACTTGGGATTTCTCCCGCTTTACCTTTACCTTTACCTTTTAATATCAATCTGCCCGTAGTGCATCTTATTGCTAAATATTAAATTACTAATTTTACATGTTATACGATGAAATGAAGAAAATCAGAATAAAAGACTGAAATCTTTTCTTGCGAAGAAGACTGAAAAGTGAAAACATATTGCTATTGGTGATTGCTCTTATTCTTTTCTCCCTTCACGTATGGATATTATTATATTCAACCTTACATGATTATCCCTTGTTGGGGATTTTTGTTTGCTCCTGTCATAAGTTAAGTATATGCAACCCAAGGATGAAGAATTGATAAACCTAACCATATATCTTCGATAGATGTACTTAGACCAGCCATTTGGTGCCTGAAATTTAAGGCCAGATGTACTTGCGGAATTCGTTGTTTGCATCTAATTTAGTTTTTTAGGGAATCAGCCATATATGTCAATATACATGTACTCAGGCAAGAAATTTCTTGCCTGAAAGGTTTAGGCCAGATCCACTTGCCTATTCTTGGTACCCATCTATGTTACTTTTATTTTCCTAGTCTTTGTAGACGATGTTGTTTGGTAGGTGTTGAAAATAATCATACGTTTTCTTATTTAAAGTAAATGGATTAAAAGCTTTTATGCATATTGATAGCATCATATTTGGTATGAAGAAAAAAAGTGAATGATGCAAAGCATTCCTAGTTTAAAGAAAACGCATGAGATAGAGTTTTGAGCAAGAACTATTGAAAAGTAGTATTTTCTGGGGCGATGTTTCTTATGACCTCCTATGCTGGGTTCATGTCTTGCTGGAGCATCAGTTTCCTTTTTAACATGAATTTATTGCTGCAAACTGGGATTACTATTTAGTTTAGCTTTGCTTATGAATGCTAAATTTGCTGATTGGTTTAATTACTTGGTAGAGTACATTAATTGAGATTGAATTGATCTGTTTTGCAGAATTTTGGTTTTCCAGACTTTGTTGCAATGCATTGATGCCTTATATCGCGTTATGTTAATACACTAAAAGAAAGGCATGCTTTTAATGTTTGAATATTCTGGACTTTATAGGGTTTTTCATGTGCTTGAATGAGAATAAAGCATCATCCTGTGCAAGGATGGCATGATTCAGTCCATAGCTTTTGTTTGAATCATTATAACTGATTGAGTGATGCATCCATTACATTCTTCTTTATGTGCAATATAATGAAAAAGAACAATTGTTGATTTGTGTTTCTCTGTTGTTGGGTTGCTTCTGCCTACTCATGTTAGCCTCTTTTGTCTCATGTCTACTGGAGAAATTTATTTCTTCAAGTGAGCCTTTACATGCGTTTGATGGTTCTGTTTGCCTGAGAATTTTGGATTTACAGTTAAAATATATCACTTTACACATTATTCTGACATGTTTGGTCCTTCAATTGCATATTGTTAGAGGTGCGGGCTAAAGAAACTGATATATCTTGTGGAAGGTGATCCAAATACTTCTGAAGCAGCAGAGAGCATTAAAACAGCGTAAGCATTTCTGTGAATATTCTTTAAAGCTACATTTACTACTACTTACCATAAACTTTTAAATCAAATCATCCTGGTTAAACTAGGAAATGAACCTTGCAATATGTATATCAGCCATAAGTATTTTCAGTGATAATTTTTTCCTAACCATCTGTTTCAGTACAACCTGCATCAGTGTAGTAATAGTTTGCTTTTAAGACCATAAGTTGTCCAGAGTTTGGTACTGTTCAAGGGCACACATCCCTTATAACAGTCCCAGAATTAGACTTTACATCCAAACAAATCACTAAAACAAAACCAATTTGCTACACTTTTGAAACCCTAATTTCCAACCTTTAGGCATCACATAGCCTTCAGAAAGAATATCCAACATAAAACCTTGCTCACTGTCCTGTATGGTGCAAGTAAGATCACCTTTGCCCCTTGGCAGATATTCCATGCTCTGTAAGCTTGTGTAAGGGTGCTGTAACAATTTAGTTATTCAATAGGTTTTAGATGTGAAACTTTTATAAGAAAGTGTCATATATTTGCACCTTCTTTGTAGATGTTAGTTTTAAACATCATTTGACATGTCCTAGGATCCTTTCTTTTCCAGTTTCAATTTGTCTTTCAAGTTTTTTAAGATTACCATCCAAGATGTTGCACATTTCAAATTCCTTTGTGTGATAACCGAAAATAAACAATAGAATAATCCTAATACTGATGTCCTAACGATTTGTGAAGAGTAATTATTATTATTATTTGAATCCATCTTCAACAGTTATAAATCTCATATTGTGCAGCTGTTTCACAACTGAGATTTTGGAGGGATTTGATGTTCAGAGAACGATTGGCTTGGCTGATACATTGAAGAAGTATGTGTATCTTACTCAAGCAATAACTCAATATTACAATTCAGAATTCTCTGAGGAACAATGTATACGTGCTGGGGTTTGTCCTCCTTTTGATGAATTTGTTAAAAGGTGCCAAGATCTGGATAAAATGACAGTCAGTGACGTTTTTGCCATTCAGCTCATGCAGGTATGTAATGTTTTTGAGAGAAAGGATTACCATCCCTTATTTGACAAGCAGTCTTGGGTCTACTATTGGTATGTAACAAACCATGTTTCCATTAAAAAAAGAATTATGGATAAAATTAATCTCTATGGGTCATGCATTGTTTTTTTCTCCTTTTGGATATGTGTGTGTATATATGGATTTATAGAACCTAGTAAACTAAAAGGTGCATTTCTACAAAGGTAAGTGAAATTTTTTCCCCTTCTGCATGTCCTTTTTAGCATAAGAACTCCATTGAACATAGTACGTGTATGGCGTTTTGGATGAAAAGTTGGGTAAATGGTTCCTGATCTCTTTTGAAACAGTATATATGACATGGCTGAGTCATTGCTTAATTTTGAGAACTAAGATAGTGAGAAAATGGTTAACAAACTTTACACACTTCTTCAATCATGTATGCAGGTCCCCCAGGTAACTGAGGAAGTTGCCATAGCTGTTCTGGATTTGTACCCAACGCTTTTATCTCTTGCCCGTGCCTACTCTCTACTTGTAAGTCCTTCCCTTGGGTTGGAATTTTAAATGTGTTAGATAATATCTGTTTAACCAACTGTGGGTGCCCCACCCTTGGAGAATGTGAAAAATTCAACCCTAATGTCTTGGACATCCAACATGGTCATAGCTAAACCTGAAAACAAGAAAATAAGAAATTTCTAGGTACTATAATTTTCCATTTTACCTCCATTAATTTTCTATTTTTAAGATTTCTTTAAACTTTAGTTTTAAAAAAAAAAGTCAACACTGCCTGTGCCATGGTCACAGGGGAGGGAGGATAAATATCATATTAATGAAAAGGAAAAAAATATGGGATTTTTGAAATTTGGGGAGTGATTAAAGGCCGGTGCAAATAGGGTCAACTGTTTTTTATTGTTCCATGTTGTTGAGTGCCACAGAGTGATTCAAAAGCATTGGTTATATTGCATAACATGTAAGCGAAATAATTATATTTGATGATTCTTCAAATGAAGATACTCTCTGAAAGCGGTTAAAGATATAGGGTTTGTTTGAAGAATTCTGAGATCTCATACAAAATTATTCAGTCCATCAGGTTTTGTGTAGTGTTTGAAATTATATGTTGGTATTGTATGGTTAAGATTATCCCAATCTTTTCTTTTGGAATCATAACTGTCATATGGATGGATAAAATGTTTGACTTTCTAGGGGTGGTGAGAGTTGCAAGTAGCCATTAGATGCAATGCAGGAGCTGTTATATTCTTTTTTTGTTTATTGTTTATTGTTTTTTTAAGTGTGCTGCTATGCCTTTTTTATGTGTTACAATTGGGATGTTAAAACAGGAAAAGTAAAATATTTTTCACACATGCGCAATGTCCTGGGATGCATGACTCATGAGATTCTATTGATGTTGGAATCTATTGTTGATTTTTCTTTTCTCCTTATTGTTGAATAGAAAATCTTGGAGCTGAAATGTTCCATGAGACCTGTTTGGGTATGTCACCATTCTTATATAACAATGATATAAAGGTCTGAAAGAATTAAATTCTAAGGTTTGAATGTAACAAGGTACTGGAATTATAATTGGCAGAAGGCTTTCGCTTAACTATGCATGAATCCCAAGGAAAATTTTTGTGGATGTTGGAACCTACTGTCAAATTTTATATATATATATTTTTCTTATTTCCAAATGGAAAATGCATTTCGAATTTGTTGGAGGGGAGTCCTCATGTGATTGAAGGCTCAAAAGTCTACTCCTGAAAATTGCACCATGTAAATTTTAAAGCCTGTTGGAAGTGAAATGTTGCTTGTGTGACCTTTGATTGTTAAGGAAAGTTGGGAAATTGAACTGGTTGTGCGACATCATATATTTGAAAATTTCTCTCGACTCTTTGTTTAATATCTTTTCTCCAAAAGTCATTTTATCCTTGTAGTTTCCACAATTATCACTTAGTTCCTGTAGTTTCAATTTGATCAATGTTGTCCCTGTAGTTTCAAATTTTGAGCAATTCAAGGACATCTGTGAATTTCTGTCAAACCTCTCACTTCCGTTACATATTGAATACGTGCCCCTCACGTGGAGGGGCAATTCGGTCCAATACTGGAGCATGACTCATGAGATTTTGTAGATGTTGGAATCTATTGTTTATTTTTCTTTTCTCCTTATTGTTGAATAGAAAATCTTGGAGCTGAAATGTTCCATGAGACCTGTTTGGGTATGTCACCATTCTTATATAACAATGATATAAAGGTCTGAAAGAATTAAATTCTAAGGTTTGAATGTAACAAGGTACTGGAATTATAATTGGCAGAAGGCTTTCGCTTAACTATGCATGAATCCCAAGGAAAATTTTTGTGGATGTTGGAACCTACTGTCAAATTTTATATATATATATTTTTCTTATTTCCAAATGGAAAATGCATTTCGAATTTGTTGGAGGGGAGTCCTCATGTGATTGAAGGCTCAAAAGTCTACTCCTGAAAATTGCACCATGTAAATTTTAAAGCCTGTTGGAAGTGAAATGTTGCTTGTGTGACCTTTGATTGTTAAGGAAAGTTGGGAAATTGAACTGGTTGTGCGACATCATATATTTGAAAATTTCTCTCGACTCTTTGTTTAATATCTTTTCTCCAAAAGTCATTTTATCCTTGTAGTTTCCACAATTATCACTTAGTTCCTGTAGTTTCAATTTGATCAATGTTGTCCCTGTAGTTTCAAATTTTGAGCAATTCAAGGACATCTGTGAATTTCTGTCAAACCTCTCACTTCCGTTACATATTGAATACGTGCCCCTCACGTGGAGGGGCAATTCGGTCCAATACTGGAGCATGACTCATGAGATTTTGTAGATGTTGGAATCTATTGTTTATTTTTCTTTTCTCCTTATTGTTGAATAGAAAATCTTGGAGCTGAAATGTTCCATGAGACCTGTTTGGGTATGTCACCATTCTTATATAACAATGATCCCGATCTCTTGGACCACAGGAGTCCAAGAGATTATGGTCACCCACAGTTGGATATTAATCTAATGGTTCAAAAAAGTTTCTTAAAAGGAGTGCAAGAGTAAGTGAACCGTTGAATTTACATCCAACGGTGAGTGACCACAAATCTCTTGGACCCCTGTAGTCCAAGAGATCAGGACTATTATGATATAATGGCATTGATCTATTTACCTATACAATCTTCTTTTTAAATTTTTATTTTTTAAAACTTGTTAAAATAATTTCTGCTGTATAATGGGTGGTGAAATGAGCAGAGCTGTTTTTGGCACTTCGGTTGTACTCACTCAAGTTTAATCATATGATATTGACTAGGAGGGCGATGTCCGTGCACAAGAAGAGATGCTTAGAACCCAGAGTAACAATGCTGTCAATGCGGGTGCTAGTAAGAATATATTTCACCTGGTTTGGGGCAATTGATTGTTTCGTATCTCCTATTTCAATTTTTTGGTTAATTTTTTAAGTTTTTTTTTATTATAGAAGAGTGCTCTTGTAAGCTACCAATCTTTCAATGTAAATAACATGTCCAGTTCTTTGTTATAAAAAATAGCTTGCTGTACAATGTTTCTGAACTGAATGTCGTTTCACTTCAATTGCACTGTTAAGAAAGGCACAATCTTCGGCTTGTTCTGCACAATCCGTGCAATTTAGTTGCATATTCAACTGTGGTGGGTGAGCTGCATTTTGGCTCTACAGTATGGAACAGGTTGGTTTTAGATTTAAAATTTTCCAAGCAAAAAATATAAAGTATCAGTCCCGCTCACCTAAGGACCTAAAAATGAGGACTTTGGAGGAACTCTTTAATAAAAGCCATTGGATTTATGTAAGGACACATGTTATTAGTAGTTTACACCCTTCCACCATACTCCTTGTTTTACCAAAACAACCCTTTTGAGTCCTAATCTACAAAATAATAAGGGTAATAATAATACCTAAAAGAGATATTTAGTCATCTTTCACCCCCTCCTCCCCTTTCGCCATTGCTCTTTCTGAACAAAGGTACACAAGAAAGCATTATTCTTGTAGGACCAAGGTTTATAAAAGTTTCTCGCTAGGCAATTCCCTTTGCCTGTAAACTAAAAGACACACACGAGAAATAAATATCAGAAGAAGTTGGATGTGTTTTTATTAGGGTGGAGAGAAGAATCGTCTCTTGATTCTCAGATGTTTTCATTTCTGTGTTTTTTCTGGGGAAATAGGAACTAAAGCTTCAAAGTTTTTATCACAATTCATCTCCTCTTTCGCAGGAACACCTACCACAAGTCCTTGAACCAAGTGGTTTATTATTCCCACAATATTCCGAGCATATGAGAAATGACTAGTCTTGCTTGAAATAGTATTGAGTGAATCACTATTCTCCAACCTAAAACAAAATTTTCCAAATGAAAGCTTTGCTAAATCGTTGATAAGGTATCCTCATCTTGCAAGTCCCATAAATATATACATGCATGCTATTATGCGGACTGTGCAATATTTAGCTCCTTTAAGCTTTCTAATTAACCCATGTAGCAAGTGTTAGGCCAATGACTCTCAAACACAAAGACTTTAAGGCATTAGGTGTTGAAACACCCCGATGAGCTTAATAACTCGAGTTAAAAAGGCTACAAAGCTAAACAAATCACACATGCATTTTTTATTTTTTATTTATAAAAAAAAATCTAAGATAGCAAGGATGGTGTGATTATGATTGAATTTTTGTCTTCTCAACTGTGTTAGTTCACTTTACACCAAAGAAAGCAAATGAAAAGTTTATTAATGGTGATAAATGACTTTTGACTTTAGACTGGAAGAACTTAAAGTTTTGGATTTGTGTTCGCTCTTTTAAAATTTGTTCATGAATTGAGAATTTGGTTTTTTTTGAGCTTTGACATTCTTGATGATGATTTGGCAGGAGAGTTACTTAAAATTTCAGATGTTTGTGGGTATCATCCCGGAAAACTCTCAAGAGACTATAACTCGTCCACTAGGGCAACCTAAGGGTTTAAAGGCTTATTGCATACGCTAAATGCAATCGAGATCCCTGCGGAAGTGGCTTAATTAGTTTTCATTTATTCTTAGTTTTTAATTTTAGTTTGCTCGAGGACTAGCAAATTATAGGTTTGGGGGTATTTAATAAACACATAATTATTACAATTTCTATCCCTAATCTATATTTGTTAGTACTTTCTTTTATTGATTTTTGCACCAATTAGAATGTTCCATTGCATTTTACGAATCCATTTGCACTTCGTTGAAATATAGGCTAATTCATTTGAATTCTCTATTTGGTAGCTCTCTCTTTGAAGTGGCACCCAAACTCTTATCAATTGGGCAATAATTGTTACATTCTAGTCTAACATCATGATTTTATATAGGTGCATGTTGGAGCTATTAAGGAGAAAGAATGTGCATGCATGTGAAGCAAAAAGAAAAGAAAGAAAAGAAATGAAGCCAATTCCAGTCCATTTCTGGAAGTCAACTTGTAAGGCCTAAAACGTATACTTGTACTGTTCAGATGGGAATACATTCTTCATAAAAGTTGTTCCAATGGGTGTCTATTATGACATATCCAAATTTGAGCCCCATTGGATACATATTGAAACCTCAGGCCTTCCTACACTAAGCCTGGTTCAGAAGAATCGTTTTTTCCAGCAACCAAAAGAAAACCCACATGGGTTGGCAGCAAAAGGCAGCCATAATTGAACACCTTTGAATACCCATGTGAAGAAAGCTTGAGGTGCAGCAGCTAAAGAATTGAAAAGAATGCATGAAGTGCCACACCCATGCCAAAAGAAGAAAGGAAAAGAAGTATGGGATGGAAGCAAACAAAAAAAGAATTGATTCCAACCACACTAACTTAGACAAGATGAGGGAACATCATAATGAATTCCAACACCTCCATTCCTATTTCAATATAATTCATAACTCCCACTTCATCTTGTCTAAGTTAGTGTGGTTGGAATCAATTCTTTTTTTGTTTGCTTCCATCCCATACTTCTTTTACTTTCTTCTTTTGGCATGGGTGTGGCACTTCATGCATTCTTTTCAATTCTTTAGCTGCTGCACCTCAAGCTTTCTTCACATGGGTTTTCAAACGTATTCAATTATGGCTGCCTTTTGCTACCAACCCATGTGGGTTTTCTTTTGGTTGCTGGAAAAAATGATTCTTTTGAACCATGCTTGGTTTAGGAAGGCCTGAGGTTTCAATATGTATCCAATGTGGCTCAAATTTGGATATGTCATAATAGACACCCATTGGAACAATTTTTATGAAGAATGTATTCCCATCTGAGCAGTACAAGTGTACGTTTTGGGCCTTACAAGTTGACTTCCGGAAATGGACTGGAATTGGCTTCATTTCTTTTCTTTCTTTTCTTTTTGCTTCACATGCATGCACATTATTTCTCCTTAATAGCTCCAACATGCACCTATATAAAATCATGATGTTAGAATAGAATGTAACAATTATTTCCCAATTGATAAGAGTTTGGGTGCCAATTCAAAGAGAGAGCTACCAAATAGAGAATTCAAATGAATTAGCCTATATTTCAATGAAGTGCAAATGGATTCGTAAAATGCAATGGAACATTCTAATTGGTGCAAAAATTAATAAAACAAAGTACTAACAAATATAGATTAGGGATAGAAATTGTAATTATTATGTGTTAATACCACTTTGCAAAACCTAAGGGAAGGTGTCGTATAGTATTGTAGGTCGGAAGTCCGAGTGTCGTTTTCACAGAGAGCGGTGTAAAGAAAATAACAGAGATGAAAAAGAACAAGTGTGATTGAGAGGTAGATTTATGCAAGATTTGATTTAAAGAAAATTTAATTGATTAAAACACTAAGGCATTGGGGTTCCACTTTTAACATAAGCATGCAACTCTTATTAATTTGATCCACAAAATATTTTCCATTGTAGTTGTTCAAAATAATTAAAGCTCTTTTTAATTTCCTTTAGAAGTATTCTAAGCATAACTTGTACCATTGGCAACAAACTATCAAAAAATAATCTTCATCAAAATTCTATTAATCTAAGTAATTCTCTTCTCTTTTAAAAGCATGAAAGTTTTTACTACACAATGGGAAAAACATGATTGAACCCATGAAATAGATTATCAAACATTCATCAATTAATTAAAAAGAAAAACTACAAATTCCATTTGAACAAAAACTACAAATTCACATTAAAGCTTAAGTTTGGATCAAACTAATAAAAATTACATACTCATATTAA